CACTCTTTCTAATTTCTGAGTTTCCAGAAGAAACAGTGGTCTGCACAAAAGCAAAGTGAATGCCAGTCTGGATAAGGCAAAAGAGATTCCTGTTGGCAGACAAAAGCACATAGAAGAGAAGGCAAGACCATCTGATGTGCATATGGAAAGAAACAGTTATATGGCCTCCATTAAGGCGTTAACACCTCCTTTTTTCTATATTATTTCTCTGTATTTCCCCATTTTCTCATTATGCTATTTTCCATTATTTTATAGTCAGAAAAAGGTTTATGACTTCTCTTTTAACACAGGCTCATAAAAATATTTCCTCCTTCTCCCCCTCTTGCTCTAAATTTCTGTGATATGCTGTATTTACAGCTACTTTGGGAGCTTGCCAGGGGATTTTTTCCTAGCATGAAGGGCAGCTGGCTGCCAGCTCTATAGGGAGAAGATACTCTCTGCCTACAACTCCCATGCATATATCTTGGCAGTGCTTGTGGTGCCCACTTGCAATCAAACACAGTAACTGCCTCATTCACAACAGAATTCCTTGCTTATCCCAGTTTTAGTCCTCAGTTTTTAATGAACCTATTTCTTCATCTAAAGGTTTTGGTATATTCCCATAATACACCATAATATACACCCCATAAAATAATTCTGGGTGTATTGTTAATACCTCTACACATTCACCTGTGTAGAATAGGCCTAATTCCTACAGCTCTGCATCATTATGGAATACAAATGTAATGAAGGAAATTTCCTGAATAACAAACCAGACAAAAACCTGCTTATAATGGAGAATTATAATGGAGAATTTTAATACCTTCATTAGATATACAAGAAAGTGAATGAAGCTGGAGCAGGAGGAGAAGTAGGGGTGGAGGAACCAGCGTCTGCCTACTGAAAAAACCCACATAATTTTTAAATAAAAGAGGCCTCAAATTACATTTCTAGATATATAAATTTTTTTTTTGAAAGAAAGAAGAGATCCTTGAAAAGGATGAAAGCTACAGTCATAAAAAGATTGTATTTTTAATGCATTTATGAAAAATATTTACTTAATTATCTATTGTGGCAGAGGTTGCTGTCATTAAAATATCCTGATTTCTACTTTATGAAGTTTTCAGAATTGTTTTGTTTCCCTTGAATAAAATGAAACCAGTATCATAGTTATAATACCATCTACATTTCTGCTTTATAATGCATTCCCACTATCATCAAAAATAACCATTGAAAAAATTAATGTTAGACTAAGTTTTTCCCTGTTCTCCCTATTGTAGATCTCTGAAAAATGTTCAGCGAAGTGACTGAAGGAAAGACAACCACGTCTATTTTTATAACACCTGTTTACTGAAGCCAGACAAAGAGGAGTTCATGTATCAAAAGCAAAATTTCAGAAAACTGCCTGTTCATAACATTAGCCACCCTGAATGGTTTCATGAAGACAAGGAACCATCCCCACATTATAACCCTTAGAAAAATAAATTCCTTCTGAACAGAGATGAGCAGGATAAGGACTAATAACTTGTAAAGTTGTAATGGAAACATTCATTTTCAATAGAGCTTTAGTAACTAATGTGTCTATAGTAGTCTACAAAGGCTACACAGAGAAATTGAGACTATGGTACTGCGTTTTGGTCATAGATCTAAAAGAGATACTACACCCACTGCTCTTAGAAAAAAAAAAAAAAAAGCAGTGATCATTTTTACTTTCAAATAAACAGAAGTCCTGCATTTATATAGAGAACAACCTATGCATTACTTAAGGTCCCCAGCACAAGGCACACTGACTTTTTACAGGAGAATGACTTCATTTGTAAACAAACTCAGACATTCATGGACTTTCATTTAGAAATCACACACAGTATTTCCTGCAGTGAATTAAACAGGGCTAGGTTTGTTGCAAGGTACAAATACAGCATCCATTCCTATTAAAGACAGTCATATGCGTTATGGACTGTCATATGAGTTATGACAAAGCCTTAGTTGTCTAGTAGTTTATGTGATGTCTACCATCAGAAAAGGCATAGTACCGGGGCACAGAAGGGAGAGAACTCAGAAAACAGGACTTAAAAATTATCTGTTTAATTTTGTATTTCTAGCATTTTTTTTTCTACAGAAAACAGGGTTAAGTAAAATAGCAGCTTGAAAGAGTTACTCTGCAAGTGAGCTGGATACATATCGTGACTTAATCTCATGGAACCATGTGTCCTTCTGTACTGAAAAGAAAGCAAAACAGTTACAGCATTAATATGGCAAGAGTTCTGATTTTTTATTTCATTGCTGAATATTCCTATATTTTTATTGTTGTGTGGCAACAGTATCAGGAGATGCTAGAGGTTTCTGAAATTTCTTTTAGCCAACATTTGTTTCAGCAGCATGTAGATTTTGTTTGCTTGTTTTCAAATATTTACTGGCACCCTAAGACAGAACTTCAGTTTTTAAATTTTTGAAATTTGCTTCTCTTTCTTAGCAAGTGAACACATAGATGGTAATTCAAATACTCCTGCCAGAAGAATTAGGTCCAAAATACAAGCAGTGTGGGCCACATTATGCAACCAATCTGATATTTAGATTTTTCTTTCTAAAGATGTATCTGATATTTAATTATCATTGATAGGGATTAGAACTCTCCCAAGTTCTGGTTTCCATCAAGACTTCTTGCCCCAGTGCTGCAACTAGTGCTGGTACACTGATCCCTTCTGCACTGGGGGTTTGCGCCTGGTAGCGTGCCTGGTAGCGTTTCAGCAGAGGCGGGCAAGTACAAGTCCTACAATAAGAGGGGTGGATCAGATTTCATTTCCATTATGGGCAACTTCAGCTCATACAAATAACAGCTTTGCTTATCTTTACTAGACACCTACTAGACACAGTAGAGTGGGTACACTAAAGTCTGGATGTCTGCAGCTATTAACAGAGCATAAAAGCTACACTCATGCATTACAGCACCATGCAGGTAGGAACAGGAGAATAGAGGACAGTATCAGCAAGTATTTCAGCACTGTACAGATGAAATTGCTTGCTCTGCTTAACCCAATTACGTGTCACTTCTGGCATGCCATTGGGCTTCTACAGCTGATAGACATTTTATATCTTGTGGTAACACAGAAAACATACATCTAAAGCAATTTTTCTTAATCCGTTTGTGTTCACTTTTAGGCTTTGTACAAGCTCTGAAGTGGAACATTAACTATATCATGAAATACAGCACTGCTAAAAGGCAGTTCATCTGTAAACCTGCAGGCTGAGAGCATTTCGAAATGTAAAGTGTTGCCTTTGGGAGGAATAATAAATGCTGAGTTTTCTGGTGTGTGAAACACAGGTGAAAATCTAAGGCAATTCTTGATATTTTGCCTTTATAGGTGACTGAAAATACATCTGTAATGCTCAATGAGGCAAATTCAGAGGCTGAAGAGGGAACCTTTTGTTTTTCTCCTACTTTTTGTTTGTGTCATGACCTCAGGCAAGACTGCAAATGCTACTGCAGTTTACAAACCTCTCTCAAAAACATACTGAAAAAAAAAAGACAGGGAAATAAGAAAGAGCATTAGAAAGGGAGGGGTGGGAAAAGCAGAAAAGGAGTTAGTTTAAAAGATGCTCTGAGTAACTGTAGATGAATAGCTGCAGGATTTCTATCACAGAAGAAGATGAAAGAGGCAAGGTACAACTCTATCAGGAGCTTTTTTATATCTAATCAACAAGATAACCCAATGTTCCTGCTACTGCCTACCCAAAAAAGTGGAGCACACATTCAGCAAAATGTACTGGGTCTCCGACACTTTCTCATTTTCAAGTTTGTTTTAGATGATTAACCAGTTTTAGACAGTATTTTAACTGATTGTGAAGAGGTCAAATTGTGATGTTCTTCCTGAATTGTTGCTGAAGATTTTCCAAGAATGAAAGATTAATTTTGCAAAGAACACCAAAATGTCAAAATCTGGTATAACTAAAAATTACAAAAATAGGGTAAACTAAAACAGAAAAGTAAAAAATATGTAAAGTCTAGTTGGCTGATTTTTTTATTTATGGAAAGTTAAACTGCTTCACTTAGGTTTGTCTTTTTTTTCATATCATATAAGACAGGAAAAATGTTGAAACAACAATGTTTATTTTTCATGTTGAAAAACTGAAACAACATGTTTCCGATATAAAAAAAAAATACGGTTCAAGTGAAGTTGACATGTGACATTATTCACACTGTTTGAACTTTTTTTCCAGTTATGTTTCAAAAGTAACAGTTTTTCAAAGTATTTCAATTGCTATGAAAATATAAATGCTGAAGAACTTTTTCTGGCCCACTCTGGCTGTTACCAGGTTACCCTTTACAGCTCCCCCAGGTTGGTACAGTCAAGTTTAATTAATCTTTTAGTCTAGTAATGAATTTCAAAAACTAGAAGTCGCCATGGAATGCTGCTGAAGACCTTACACAACAGTACCCATAAAGCAAGTATACCCATGCCCACGTGCTTTCCCTGCCCTTTCCCCTGACAGATGAAAGCATTGCCCAACTGCTCCCCCAGTAACCAGGCAGCGAAGAAGCAAAGGACACAGGAACAAATTATCTACTGTTGGGAATTAATGCAGCTTCACTGGAGTCACTGGAGCTACACAGAATTGTACCAGGAGGGAGTCTGGCAATAGGGTCCTACAGAGGACAACAACACAGACATTTCCAGGGAGTAGCTCCAGGCACAGAGAGGGATTTTGGCTCTTGCATGCAGCACTAAAACAACGTGTGCTACAATGAACAGACACCAGTGGCTTGTAAACTGGAGACATGAAGATCACAGCACATTGTCAAGATATTGCTGTGACTAATTTCTCCCTCAGTGACCTTGTTGGACGGAGTGGCTATTTGAGAGTGATTTACTGCTACAAAAACCTCCTAGTGGAAGGCCTACAGGTGGCATGAATATCAGATGCATGCGATTGTGCAGTTAGAGAAGCTGAAGCACGAACTTTCCATAGGTCACAGGAAGACATGTAGTAATATGAGCAGAAGCAAAGTCTCCCTTCTTCTTAGAAACTTTTAAATATACTCAAGATTACCAACGTCCTTCATGTAAAAATGAACGTAATGAGAGTAGCACACAACGCTGTGCCACTTATTTGAACATCTGACAATCTGGTACTCCCATCCAAAGCCTTCATAATATATAAACAACCATTAGATGAGATTCTCAAGGTCACTGATTCTTTTGCTGCCTCAAAACAGCAGAATTGACCTTGTGGCAAGGTTATTTGCACATACTTTCTGTTGGACTATGCCGCCTGTACCATGTAAAAAAAATCCCTAAAGTAAGACAGGGTCCCAAAATGAAGAAGCTGATCTTGCATTCACAGTGATTTGGGACCACAAAAGTACACTGGTGGTGTCATCTCCAATTTGTGGCAGTGTAAATGAGGTCTAAAAGCAGGATCCATTTAACAGTTGACTAATCCTCAGGAAGACATTTGCAAGCGAATGGACTTAATGATCTACGAGACCTTTATGTCTAATTTCTATGACTCATTTCATATACAAAGATGGTCTAGGAAGCAGTCAGTGACTCAGACTAGGTGCATCTTTAGCATTTAAAGTATCTATTTGTTCACCTTGATAAAATTGTCTAGTAGTCTCAGGAAATCTGCCTACAGTTACTTCCAAGCCACATTACATCTTTCCCTTAAGAAAACATCTTAATTTCTTGTTTTCACAATGAGATCATCTGGACACTACTCAAAATAACAGGCACTTCTTTATTGTTTCGTTTGTTTGTTGTTTAAGGGGTTTTTTTTACTTTATTGAAAAGTATATATTGCAAATTCAGGACCAGAACCTGTTTTAAAATCTACTCATATAGAAACTGAGCAGCCCCACTTGGGTCAGTAGCCTTAGGTCAGACTGGTCCACAAATTGTAGTGCTTTTATTTACATTAATGAAGCCAAAGCCAATCTCGTTTCCCATGAATATTAATGGATCACATTTTAGACCTTTATTTCTATTACTTTTGATACATTGAAATGCATCAATACAAATGAAAGTAATAGGAAATTAAAATGTGCTAGAGTTGCTTCCTGAAGCAAATCAAGGTATTTTTGGCTTAAAGAAGCAGCCTATCTTTGACCTGCATTTGCTTCAGAATTAGACCATACTCAACATACATGCATGGAAAGCCTTGCATATCATCCACAATGAACTACTCACTTACTTGAAACCTCACAGTGAATGCAAAAAGTATTTTATACCAGCATATCTGCTTAGAAATCATTCACAGTCAGTCTCTTACCTGATGAGTAAGACCTTCCTTTTTGCTCATGTCCACTTCATTTTAGTTCACGTCACCATTAGAAATGGCCTAGTGAAAATCCAGTAGAAAGACATCCCATATTTATAGGCAGAGATACAATAAAGGTTAGTTAAAACATTATTGCTGTAAAGTTCTTTTTCCAGAAGGCCAAGCAGATGTTGAACCATAAAGAGCAATCCCAGTGTGTCATGGCCAAGAGCAACTCTTTCTGGAACAGCGTTAAAGTAGTAAACTGACAAATGGACATTACTAGCTGCATGCCTGCCTGGAAACAAAGACAACTGAGTATAAAATTGTTTTGCTCAACTTTTCTCCTCACAAAAGGCTTTTGTCCTGTAACAAGCCATTTCTGTTCTGGAATACCAGCTATTGTTATCTCCTTAGAGGTAAAACTTATATTGGGCATTATAACAACAGTATGTTATTGAGGCACATGGACAGGGGTTTAAAAGGCACAGCACATTGCAAGAATAACGTGCAGGATTAGCCTGTTATTCTAGCTGCCTGTATGCTTTTAATATTGGTGGATGTAGCTGTATTAGAATTGGGGGGAGGGGTCTTTTTTTACCTTAGCTATCTAAAAGTATTTCAAATATTAGATAGTTAAGCTTGTTCTTCTTATGCTTTTTTATTTATCAGGTTTAACATGAATTCAAAGGACTATGTTTAACTGACATTTTTTCGTTCTATTTCCTTTAGCTGATACAACATTACAGGATGACTGTATCATGTGTGCTTACAGCAACAATTCCCAACAATTGATCAATCAATAAACTCAAGTAAGCATGATGTTAAGATCGGAATATAACCCTGTGAAAACCCAGGTTTGCCATTTTTTTTATATTGAAAAAAAAAAAATTAAAATTACCCCATCAAAATAATGACTAGAAGCTATAGTTCACAAAAATATGAGGCATTGCCAGTGAAATGCACAAATGCACATGCCCAAATCCCAAACTGTGATTCAAAAAATCCTTCCTTGTCTTGGAAACACTGAAAGGCCAGAGCTCCCGACTTTTTGACTTCATCTGTGCTATTTCTGTAACTGCCCCTGTTCTGAACTGCCCCATTTGTCACAGAGCAGAGCAGGCAACAGCTGAAAGTTTATTAGCATTCAATAGGCTTACTTATAAGACTTGGCATTTTGTCAAGCAGACATTTAAGAAATCAACACCCAGCACATTCCATAGGACTGGGCTCATGTAAGACAGGTAGGTTGGAAGTCAACATTTTGCTCACAGAATACTTTTTTCAAAGTAATTGCCCTCAGGCTGTCATCATACAACAATCAGAAAAATTTCACAGTTCCTTTTTTAGGCAATGTACAGGTGTCATAAACCTATAGCTTGTGGCTCTATGTTGTGATGAGCTGTGCCAAAAAGAGAACACTTCTGAGCAGGACTACTCAAATCAAATAGTCTGAGAAGCAGAGGCCAGACAGAAACAGATCTTCTGTTGGTTTTGGGTTTTTTTTCATTTTGAATGCAAGCATGAACAACTTCAGCTTATAGTTTGAAAAAGATACACTTCAAGTTAAAAATCTGATTCATCAGAGCAATAAGGGTGGTCAAGCACTGGCACAGGTTACCCAGAGAAGCTGCTGGATCTCCATCCTTGCCGATATTCAGAACTTGAGTGTACAAGGCTTTGAGTAACCTGATACAACGTCAAAGCTGGCCCTGATTTTATTGGTGGATCAAACATGATGACTACCACAGACGCTATCCAGCCTAAATTATTCTGTGATTGTACATCTGACTCATTTTTACATATTGTTAATTAACTTCATTACATTTTTGCAAGTACAAAAGATCTCTACCAGACTTTGTATTCTGTTCTACTCTGTTCTGCTAACCAGAACATAAAGACAAGAAAGAACAAATTGTGCCTTAAAGAGTGTAGTTTTTGAGGCGCCAGTCTCACAAGTATCGTTAGTAATGAATAATTTTTTCATTAGCACTGGAAGAATCATCTATTTCTATCTCAAGTACCTATTAGACCCTCCTAAAACAGTGTTGTTTTGTTTCATTTTATTTTCTGGACAGAGTGAAGTAGGGGAGGGAGATGGTTCTCTGACAACACACGCCTGTGAGAGGCTGCTGGTTTCAGTAGAACTGTGCTGATCAGAGAAGCTGAGAATCTGATCTAGAAACTGATGGAAGCCCATTTCACATTTACCACAATACATGGACTACTGCAAAGAGCACCATTTGTACAGCAATACTCATCATCTTCCCACCTTTGGCAAATAAGATCAATCAGGCCAAATCTACTGTATCTCCAAGAGGAATATTGGTTTGGTTTGTTTTTTTTTTAAAAAAGAAACTGGCTTTTACATGTGCATTTAGAATGACATTTTCTGTCACTAAGCTTTTGCAAAAACCTGTTTTCACATGGATGTGGGAGTATTGCTTCATAAAAACAAACCTCTCAGTCTTTCCCCAAAAAAGAAAAGCTCCAGAGGAAGGTATGCTAAAAGGAAGAAATATTCTATTAGTATCCAATAGAGAGATGATAAAATGAATAGTACCATGTTTATTTTACATTTATCATTGAATTGTGTGTAATAGACATTGTAAGTGGTGAATTCCAAATCACTGGAAACCCAGTGTAGCACTTGCATACAGAGTCAAAGGGTCAAAGAGCACTGAGTAATGACTACTGCTTGATCAGGGATGCAGCTGTGAGAAACATCCTTACCACGCCTGTCCCACTAACCTCGGCTGTTGGCAGATGGATGGGCTGGAGCTGTCAGGCTCTTCTTTCAGCTGCTTGTCCCATATTTCCTCCCCTTCTCCTTTTCCACTGGATTACAGAAGCATCTTTTCTAGTCTTCAATACTTTAAGGTAGGTGAAACAAAATTTATTTCATCTTCCTTTGTAAGAAGCCTTGAGATGGTTTCAATCTTAACATTAGCATAACTCTGTGCTAATTTTATTTTTTTCCAGCTCATACTGGCTACGGAGTCATGTTTAACACTGTTTTTAGTAAACCCACTTCCTCAACGGTGTGTATCCAGAGCTATACGTTCTTTGTAGCATCACTAGGAAAGGATCCTCAGAAAAACAACACTCTCTGGGGGAGAAACAGATTTACACAAAATGATCCTTTTCTTTTGAAATGTAGAAGTAACATTATGAGTTTGTGTGATTATTTAAGTATGCTGGCCTTCAACCACAGTTTATCAAATAATAATCTAAAATCCTAAACACTTCGGAAATATAACACAGTCAAAAGATCACAAAAGTGATCACTTAATACTTTAACTACAGATACTTTGTGTACACTGTCTGTGATGAATATGTGGTAATGAGAAAGTGCAAACTGCTCATTATCCCATTAGCGGCTCTTCAACAGCTAAAAAGGGATAGAGCTTCTCTGATGACAGCTATTGCAGCAAATACTGCCAGTTCAGGGGAGCTCTCTGCTGGCGAGCTGTCGGCAACCTTCATACACACAATTTCACCATCGTCGTGGCTTAGAACTACTTCCAATTCCAGCTACAGCAAAGAGGTTTAAAGGGTTAAAATAAGGAGGTTAAAATTATCATTACTCTTCTCCCATTCAAATTGGTTTTCTAGAAGAGGAAGGTTCCATATACTCCGAATTAACATTGTTTTAAGCAGCAAAGAATCAGGGCATCCACCAGGAAACTTCTTTCTCTAAGCACTAGTATAGGTTACCTTCAGCTGTTAATTTCTGTGGGTCTGCTGAAATGCCTAAATTGTTCAAAAGAAAATTTAGAGGATATAGATTTTGTACCTGGAGTAGTTTTTGGATAATGCCTATTGCTCCTCAGGTTGGGACAAGGAAGGATTACATCCTGTCATCTGCTCCTAGGCATGAAAAATTTCTCAAAATAATTTTATCACTTTTTCTCATCACCTTAATTTTATGGGATGTGACTACTCCCATTTCTAATCCTGTTTGGCATGTGAAAAGACGCCTATCCACTCCAATTGGATCAAAAGTAGCCCTCTCCTTAAAGACAACTAAAGTAGGTAACTAAAGGTTAACAGAAAAAGTAGTTCAAAGAGAAAATTGTTTCCTCCAGTTTCAGACACCCTCAAAACAAAAGGCCTTTTAAAGCCTTATGGGATTTTTATAACACGTGGAGATTCCCATACTGATGCCAGCTATTTAGTGGTGACTAACATCCACACTACATAGTACTGTATGGATATACAAGCTAAAATGGATTTTGCACAGACCTATCTCAGGAGCTTTTTAGAACAAAGATGCTTGAGCTCCCAAGTTCCAAGGCCAATTACATGACCAGCAAGAAGAGATACTCATTTAGTCTCTCCTTCACTGCCATAAACCTGTAACATTCTGTACTAATACCTAAAGGCTGGCATTACAAAGCCAAAGGTGAAGTTCGAATGTCAAAATGCCTTCAGGAGAATCTAACCTAGTATGTTCCTTCACCAACAGGATCTCTGGTTTTACATCTAACCCTGTGCCTTGCCATGATTATTAAACAACACTGCAGTTTGTCTTGCAAAAAATTGTTCTTCTCTTCATTTATTCACAGCTGACATAAAATATTATTCAGCATCAAGATCTGCAAAAGACTTCAACTAGTTAAATTCCATACTGCAACCTAGTGAAATATAAAACCAGAAAAATTATTAGAGCTTGGACTTGCACTGATCCTTACTCAATCACCATAGCTATCCTTCTGCTAGTTCCTCTTTTAAGATTTCTTCATATGGTTTTCTCTTCCCACATTCTCACAAGTATGCCTTTGCTATGCATGACTGCATTTATCCAGTATCCCTCATTTGTTGCCCAGTGATTTATACTCCAGTTATGTAGCTAGACGCGCTACAACAAAGCATTGCTCACTCCTCTATTTGCAGGTGCCAAAACTTAGGCACTCACAGACAACGACAGGACTGAAAAATTGGCCTACGATGTATTAGAAGTCAATGAACTTAACTTTTATATCAATGGCATGTATAAGAAATCTTATCAATAGGTAATAAATAATTATTTTATACTCATA